CCCCCCCCCCAAAAAAAATGAAAGGGAAAAGAAACAACAAAAAGAAGAAAACAGGGAGGACTTAATGTTAATAGATTCTTCAGTTATTATAACTCAAGAGTCTCCTATTGTTTGACAGTAGCAGAAGCGTAGGTTAAAGCCTTCACTGTATATTTTCACTTTCAGTGTTAAACTTAACGACATCATATTAGCAGCACCCCGGAACTACTAAAGTATGATCCTTATATACACTCTGTTGTTCTCATTGCATATGTAGGTACTTCGGATGTTAGAAGGCGACGTGTTAGTGAACTAACTTTGTAGTAAAATGAAAATGGTTTGGAGTTGATCGTCAAAAGAAGTCAAGTTTGACATAAGACAATTGATCCCAAGCTGACAATGGCCGTTTCAAAATAATGCTCCAACTGTACTGGGGGCTGCAAGAAGATGCCACAGGCAGAAAGGTTCTCCTATGTACGAGACAAGGGAAGATTTTGTTCTCCCACAATCATCAACCACATTTTGTTCCTCTTTTTTTGATCCACTTTATGATCCACGTGCATTATAGATGCTTGTATAGCAGTGATAAGTATGAATGTGTTAAAATTATTTGATTTGTTATCCCTAGTAGAATTAGGGCGAAGCATTGCATATGGGTATGGCAGTGAAACTGTAGCTTGTCTGTAATTGTTTTTGGCTTCAATCTCTCGAAATGCAATGGCTTGAATTCACAGTTTTGTTGAACTTTATTCTGTTTGCCAGGAACAAAAAGCAGAAATAACATGTAATTGATTTTCATAGTTTATATATCTCTAAATATTAGTGCATCTTCCTAAATGTCGTCTTAACAATTTGTAGCTGCTGATTGACCTTAGCTACCTCTACGGAAACTGCTTTTGGGGTCCAAATTCAGTATTACCTCTTAATCTTAGTATTTGCAATTTCGCTCCCACTATCACAAGGAAAGTCATGCCTTGTCTCTTCGTCCAATTACCATTTGTCTTTCCCTCAGCCGACTAGGAAAACAAATTTCCTTAAACAGTTGGCAACTATAAATTCTATACAGCCCTGGTAATTGGTAAATCAATCCAATGTTCAGACATAACATGTATATTCTTCCAGATACTTAGTGTAACTATATTCTAATTACTTGGACTGTTAGCTATGAGTTTTGGACTAGTTGTTTCCATCCTCTGCCAAATTTTTAAACGTTGACTCGTAATTCATTCTTATTTAATTTCATGTACAACTTGTCAAGAAGTTTAGAAGTTGGAGTTCAAAACTTTACATGTCTGATCCCACTTTATCTAAAGTCTTTCAAGAAAATGCATTTCGATAACTTCTTAATGGTTATCACCTCTTAATCCCTCCTCAACCCCTACCCCCCGAAGTGAATTATTTTGCACTCAAAAGAGAAATTTTTACCATTTTGACTAAACTTGGCCTGTTTAGCTGACCTAGGAAGAGGAAGATCTTTTTCTTATGCAACTTAGAGCTTGATATTGGAAGTCCAACTGGTTATGACTTGAGAGAGATGCTCAATTACGTGAAATCGTAATTACCATTATTTTGTTTAATGTTCCGATTTTGTATTAGTGGCTAATTAATGCAAAATGAAAGACATCTTTCAGCATATGCAAATAGGAAATATTATCTTTAAATTCATGAGACCTCAAAGGATGAAAAGATTGGACACTATCTAATATTCTAGACTTTATATCCTCCAACTTGTGGTAATGTAAGACGTTACACATATTAAAATAAAACATTACGACAAGTGATAAAGCCAGGGAAAGAAGGTAGGAAAAGAAAGTTTATCTTTTGATATGTTCCCTAAATCAAGATTCCTTCCTTGGGATAATAATGCCAAATCATGATTTTGGTGGGGTTTTAGTACATTGACCATAAATTAGAGTAGTTCTCTAGAAAGATAGAGATAAAACCATTAAATAAGTATAGATCTTTTTTGACATATACTCTATAAAGCAATTGGTCGTTAATTTTTAAGTAGAAATCTACTGCTCATGAGATAAAGCCTAGTTGAGTAAGATATCTATCTACAAAAGCTTTGAGTACTAAAATATATGCGCGTCCAAATCTAAGTTGGATCTAAGTAAACTGTTGGTTAGGTCATTGATTTAAGTAATGACTATGGTGTGACAGCCAAGTCATTGGCAGACAAAATACAGGTTAAAAAAGATTAAATGGAAGACCCAAAATAGTTGACATGTCAAATTGTTGATCTCTTTATTTTAAAAATATTGTTAAGGACCGGCCTATCGGTATTAATATTTCAGTTCTTTGTGAATGTAATAGTTTCATATTGTAAGAGCGTATAATAACATATTGCTTATATATGGAATGTCATACTGCAACTTCTGTTTCAGACATATATACATGCGAATAAAGTCGAATTTGAAGAAATAAAAATAATAACAATAATACCAATAATAATAATAATTACTATGATTATTATTACCAAAAAGAAAAAATAAACCTTATCTGATATTGTAGATAATGTTATTTATCAAGTGATTATTTTAACATGATCGTCTTGATGATTATTGTCGAGATATGAGATAATGGTGTGACAAATCTTCCATTACATGAGATATTAGTTAAGGGTACTTTTTTATTGTTTAGTTGAGGTTTTACATGCTTAAACACATGCAAATGCATGGAATATTAGCGCAAATAATTAATACATGTAAAAGGGTATATACCCCCCACAACATATTCAAATATAGAAAATTGATACTGTAATTATGATATTTCATAGGATAAATTAGCCTATACCATCTTCTACTACTTATATCCTTTCTTTTGTGTTTTAATATGTAAAGGAACGAGAGTTGTTCCTTAATTTCTTGTCATGAACCCAAGTTGGGAAACTATCCAAGAAAAAAGCAAATAGTAACGTGGCAATCCAATCATCTTCACTTGGTGTATGCTCATAAGACCCAACTTGTACTACAAAACATATTATTACTCATATAAACCACTTAATATTTCCTCTTCTTTCCACACCCCTAACCGAACAACCAAAACGAGAAAACTCATTCTGGACGTTGAGTTTTTGGAGTTGTTACTTTTTTTTGTCAATTATATTTTCTGTAGCTAGGTAAAAATGGGGAGAAAGTGTTCACATTGTGGGAAGATAGGTCATAATTCAAGAACTTGCAGCAGTTTCAAAGTAGGTGCTATTAGTTGTGGATTAAGACTCTTTGGAGTGCAAGTAGTTGACATCTCTGCTTCATCTTCATCTGCTTATGATGTTCAGTTGAAGAAAAGTTTAAGCTTAGATTGCTTATCTTCGCCTCCACCTACTGTCTCATCATCATCTGAAAAGACTACTAGTTGCACAAATATTGGTTCTCTCTCTGATTGTCTCTTAGGTCAAGTTCATCAAGATAGAAGGAAAGGTTTGGAAAGCTCATTAATTAAGTTAGTATCGATGTATTTGCTGTTTTTCTTTAATGTTAATAATTATTGGATGGATGATATGATCTCAGGAGTTGCATGGACAGAGGAGGAACACAGAACATTCTTAGTGGGACTAGAGAAGCTAGGTAAAGGAGATTGGAGAGGAATTTCAAGGAACTTTGTGACAACAAGGACTCCAACCCAAGTTGCTAGTCATGCTCAGAAGTATTTCCTCAGACTATCAACTCATTATCATCTCAACAATAACAAGCGCCGTTCCAGCCTCTTTGACTTGGTATTCTATACTCCTATAGGATCCTCGTCGTCACCTAGATATACATTTGATCGATGTCGTCATTTCTTATGAAAATATTTTTCATTTAAAATGACTCCTGTCGTACTAAAAATGTAACGTGTTAACATGATAGGTAAGGAGCAACAACAAGAACCATCATGAAACTAGTCCAGACTTTGCAAATTCTACTCATTCTCTGACAAGCTTAAAAGAAGTTTGCCAAGAAACTAGTCGTCCATCTTTATTAATGGATCTCAATTCATCTGGAGAAGATATAGCAACCAAAGATCATCAACATTGCAAAAACACTCAACAACCTCTTTGGCCTTATGAATTCCTGGCTTCTCATCAGATGGTGTCTTCTTCTCCAATAACTATGTCCATTTCTCCAGTGGCAGTAGCACTTGATTTGGAGCTAAGTCTAGCAGCTCCAAGAAATGCGGATAAAAACAAGCCAAATACCTTTCTAATTGGACCTATTCCTGTTACTTAGCTAATTAATGAATGTATTTTCCTATTATCATGTTACTACTATATAATAGTACTTCTATAACTCTATTCCCCATCTCTAACTTCAGGCGACTTTCAAAGTAAAAATTGCATTTTTTCTCGACTTTCATACTTGAATATTACGTACTAATGAACGTAAATAAAGGGTGAGTATATACCCATTTAAATTAATGAAAATCCAAATCGGCTACTGCGGACAAAATTCCTTGTCATCGTAAAGATTATTCTCCTTAAAAACATAAAAAGAGTGCCGTCGCTTCAACCTAAGGAACCATAGTCACCGTCTTGCCACGATCGTTCCTCATTTTTTTGCGTTTTACGGCCACAAAACTGGAATTCCACCCGATTCTTATATTTTCGCATGTTATAGCCCTCGCCTTCCGCATGGGCCCGGGCCCCCGGACCTGTATCGCCTAAAATTTTTTTGGGCCATCCAATAAGCCCTAAGGAACCATAGTCACAGCCTCGCCATGACCGTTCCTCGTTTTTTGGCGTTTTACGGCCATAAAACTAGAATTTCGCACGATTTCTATATTTTCATTTGCTATAGCCCACGCTTTCCGCGTGGGCCCGGCCCCTCAGACCCAGATCACCTAAAAATTTTTTGGGCCATCAAATACGATCTAAGGAACCACAGTCACCGCCCCGCCATGACCATTCCTCGTTTTTTGGCATTTTACGGCCATAAAACAGGAATTCCGCGTGATTCCCATATTTTCGTGTGCTATAGCCCACGCTTTTCGCATGGGCCGGGACCTCAAATTCGGATCGACTAAAAATTTTTCGGCCCATCAAATACGACCAAAGGAACCATAGTCACTTCCCCGCCATTACCATTCCTTATTTTTTGTGTTTTACGGCCATAAAACTCAAATTCCGCCCAATTCTCATATTTTCGTGGGCTACCCACGCCTTCCGTGGGCCCCCGGACCCGGATCACCTAAAATATTTTCGAGCCTTCAAATACGCCCTAAGGAATCGTAATCACCGCCCCGCCATGATCGTTCCTCATTTTTTTGGCATTTTACGGCCATAAAACTAGAATTCGTGTGATTCCCATATTTTCGTGTGCGCCCACGCCTTCCGAGTGGGCCGGCCCTTCTGACCCGGATCGCCTAAATATTTTTCAGGCCATCAAATACGATCTAAGGAACTATAGTCACCGTCCCCGCCATGACCGTTCCTCGTTTATTGTTTGGGTTTTACTGTCATAAAACTGAAATTTCGCCCATTCCTATATTTTCGTGTGTTATAGCCCACGCCTTCCGCATGGCCCCGGCCTCCCGAACAAGGATCGCCTAAAATTTTTACGGCTCATCAAATACGACCTAAGGAACCATAGTCACCACCCCGCCATGACCGTTCCTCCATTTTTAACGTTTTACGGACATAAAACTGAAATTCTGCCTGATTCTCATATTTTCGTGTGCTATAGCCCACGCCTTCTGCGTGAGTCCGGGCCCCTGAATCCGGATCACCTAAAAATTTTCGGGCCATCAAATATGACCTAAGGAACCATAGTCACTGCCCCGCTATGACCGTTCCTCATTTTTTTGTGTTTTACGACCATAAAATTGGAATTTCGCTGGATTCTCATATTTTTGTGTGCTATAGCCCACGCCTTCCGCGTGGGCCTGGCCCCCTGACCCAGATTACTTAAAAAATTTTAGGGCCATCAAATACGACCTAAAGAACCAAAGTCACTGCCCCGCAATGACCGTTCCTCATTTTTTTGGATTTTATGGCTATCAAACTGGAATTCCGCCCGATTTTTATATTTTTATGTGCTATAGCCCACGCCTTCCGCGTGGGCCCAGCCTCCAGGCCCCGGATCTCCTAAAATTATTACGGGCCATCAAATACGACCTATGGAACCATAGTCACCACCCCGCCATGAACGTTCCTCCTTTTTTAGCATTTAACGACGATAAAACTGAAATTCTGCCCGATTCCCATATTTTCGTGTGAGATATCCCACTCCTTCCAGGTGAGCCCGGCCCCCCGGACCTGGAACGCCTAAAAAATTTTCGGGCTATCAAATACGACATCAGAAACCTTATTCACAGCCCCGCGATGAACGTTCTTCGTTTTTCTAGCGTTTTACGACCATAAAACTAAAATTCCGCCCGATTTTCATATTTTCGTTTGTTATAGACCATGTCTTTCGCGTGGGCCAGGCCCTGACCCGGTAGCCTAAAAGTATTCCGGACCATCAAATACCACCTAAGGAATCATAGTCACCGCCCGCCATGACTGTTCCTCCTTTATTTTGCGTTTTACCGCCATAAAACTGGAATTCTGCCCGATTCCCATATTTTCGTGTGCTATGATCCACGCCTTCCGCGTGGGCCCAGGCCCCCGGACCCGGATTGCCTAAAACTTTTTCGGACCATCTAATACGCCCTAAGGAACCATAGTCATGGTCCCTCTATGACTGTTCCTCATTTTTTAGCGTTTTACGGCCATAAAAATAGAATTTCGCACGATTTCCATATTTTGTTTGCTATAGCCCATGCCTTTCACGTGGGCCCGGGTCCCTGGACTCGGATCATCTAAAAGTATTTCGGGCCATCAAATACGATCTAAGGAACCACAGTCACATCCCCTCCATAAACGTTCCTCGTTTTTTGGTGTTTTAAGGCCATAAAACAGAAATTCCATCTGATTCCCATATTTTCATGTGCTATAGCCAGCGTAGGCCGGACCCTCGGACTCGGATCGCCTAAAAAATTTTCATCCCATCAAATACGACCAAAGGAACCATAGTCATTTTCCCGCCATGACCATTCCTCGTTTTTTGTATTTTACGGCCATAAAACTCTAAATACGTCCAATTTTCATATTTTCGTGGCCTAACCAAGCATTCCGCGTGGGCCCGGGCCCCCGGACCCGGATCACCTAAAGAGTTTCTGAGCCTTCGAATACGCCCTAACTAACCATAATCATCGCCCCGCAATGACCGTTCCTCATTGTTTGGCATTTTGCAACCATAAAACTGAAATTCATATGATTCCCATATTTTCGTGTGCTATAGCCCACACCTTCCGCGTGGGCCCTATCCTTCTGACCCAGATCGCCTAAAAATTTTCGGAGCCATCAAATACGACCTAAGGAACTATAGTCACCGCCCCCGCCATGACTGTTCCTCATTTTGTTTTGCGTTTTACTGCCATAAAACTGAAATTTTGCCTATTTCCATATTTTCATATGTTATAGCCCACGCCTTCCGCTTGGCCTCGGCCTCCCGAACAAGGATCGCCTAAAATTTTTACGGGCCATCAAATACGACCTAGGGAACCATAGTCACCGCCCCTCCACGACCGTTCCTTCTTTTTAGCCTTTTACGGCCATAAAACTGGAATTCCGCCCGATTCCCATATTTTCGTGTGCTATAGCCCACGCCTTCCGCGTGGGTTCGGGCCCCTGAATCCGGATCGCTTAAATTTTTTTTGGGCCATAAAATACGACCAAAGGAACCATAGTCACCGCTTCTCCAAGACCGTTTCTCATTTTTTTGTGTTTTACGGCCACAAAACTGAAATTCTACCCGATTCTCATATTTTTGTGTGTTATAGCCCACGCCTTCCGCGTGGGCCTGGCCCCCCGGACCCGGATCGCTTAAAAATTTTAGGGTCATCAAATACGACCTAAAGAACCAAAGTCACATCCCCGCAATGACCGTTCCTCGTTTTTTGGGATTTTACGGCTATAAAATTGGAATTTCGCCCGATTTCTATATTTTCATATGCTATAGCCCACACCTTCTACGTGGGTCCGGCCTCCAGGCCCCGGATTACCTAAAATATATACGGGCCATCAAATACGATCTAAGGAACCATAGTCACCGCCCCGCCATGAATGTTCCTCCTTTTTTAGCGTTTTACGGTCATAAAACTGGAATTCTGCCCGATTTCCATATTTTCGTGTGAGGTATCCCACGCCTTCCATGTGGGCCCGGCTCCCCGGACCTAAAACGCCTAAAAAAAATTTGGGCTATCAAATACGACATAAGGAACCATAGTCAATGCCCCGCAATGACCTTTCTTCATTTGTTTGGCGTTTTACGGCCATAAAACTAGAATTCCGTCCGATTCCCATATTTCCGTGTGTTATAGACCACGACTTCCGCGTGGGCCTAGGCCCCTGGACTCGGATCACCTAAAATTTTTTTGTGCCATCAAATACAACCTAAAGAACCATAGCCACCGCTCCTCCATGACCGTTCCTCGTTTTTTGACATTTTACGGCCATAAAATTAGAATTTCACCCGATTCTCATATTTTCGTGTGCCGTAGCCCACGTCTTCCGCGTGGGCTAGGCCCCCAGACCCGGTAGACTAAAAGTTTTTTGGGCCATCAAATACCACCTAAAGAATCATAGTCATCGCCGCTCCATGACCATTCCTCCATTTTTTGCGTTGTACGGCCATAAAAGTGAAATTTTGCCTGATTCCCATATTTTCGTGTGCTACGCCTTCCGTGTAGGCCCGAGCCCCCGGACCCGGATCGCCTATAAATTTTCTGGACCATCAAATACTCTCTAAGGAACCATAGTTGCGGCCCCGCCATGACCGTTCCTTGTTATTTAGCGTTTTACGGCCATAAAATTGGAATTTCACACTATTTTCATATTTTCGTTTGCTATAGCCCACGCCTTCCGCGTGGGTCCGGGCCCCCAGACTCGGATAGCCTAAATATTTTTCGGGCCATCAAATATGATCTAAGGAACCACAGTCACCGCCCCGCCATGACCATTCCTCATATTTTGGTGTTTTAATGCCATAAAACAGGAATTTTGCCCGATTCTCATATTTTTTTGTGTTATAGCCCACGCCTTCCGCGTGGGCCGGGCTCTTAGACCCGGATCGCCTAAAAATTTTCTGGCCCATCAAATATGACCAAAGGAATCATAGTCACTTCCCTGCCATGACCATTCCTTGTTTTTTGCATTTTACGGCCATAAAAGTCTAATTCCGCCTAATTCTAATATTTTCGTAGGCTACCCACGCCTTCCGCGTGGGCCCGGGCCCCCGGACCCGGATCACCTAA